GTGGACGGCTGCGTCCTGGGGCAGCTGGTGGTGGCGCCCAGGAAGCCGACCACCCGCCGGGACCCCTGCTGTGCCTGGGCAGCTGTGGCGGCCGGACAGGGACCTGGGGGCTGAGGACCCTGCTGCACGAGGTGCGGTTTGATGCCGGCTTGGCTCTGAGCCGCCTTGGCGATCCGCACAAGGGAGGAGGGGTCCCTTGGTCTGCAGGGTTGGGCTGTCGTGAGGGGGCTGCCCACTGGCCACACACGGGGACGTGGCCAGGGAGCCCCCGGAGAGGGGGCCCTGCGACCCCAGGTGGAAGACCCCCAGGGCCCGCTCTGCACGCCTGGCCGGGATCAGGTGCCGTCTCTGGGCCAGTCTCACACCAGAACCTGCCCCGTGAAGGTGGAGTCGGCCTGCTCGCTGCCGCCGGCAGATTCCGGTTCCGGGAGGGTTCTGGCGGGCCGGCTGTGCCGTGGGTCTGAGGTGTCCCTGACTGGCAGCCCCAGCACAGCCACAGCTGGGGAGCTAGGTAGGCAAGCCAGGACTGTCCGGTCCCTCTTGGCCGGGGAGCTCCGTGAGGGCAGCCCCAGGCCCGGCCTGGGCACAGCCTGAGCCCCGCAGCCCCGTGGCCTCCATGGCCTTTGTCCCCTGTGGGCCCCGAGCCCGCTGCCCGAGTTCTGTGGGACATTCTGGATGCGCCACGTGGCCCTGGCGTTTTCTTGTCCCTCTGCGGGCCGGTGGGGGGGTAGGTGGACGCTAGACCAGTGGCCGGGGCGGCCCCGCTTCCTTCTGGAAGCTTCCACAGAGGATCCCTGCTGTGGGCCCTGGAGCAGGAAGCCCGGAGGCCACTCGTGCCACCCCCACACTCGGACTCAGGGAGGCCGGGCCCCCGGCAGCTCCCAGCCCAGATGGGCCTGGCTGTGGCCTGCTGGGGCCCCCGGGGCTGGCCGTCCCCGTGAAGCCGCCGCAGGGCCGTGGGGAGGCCGCCTGGTGCCGGGATGAGCCCTCGGCCTCTCCCAGGGACCCCGGGCTCCCCGCGAGAGTGGCGGAAAGGCAGGCCCCGCCGCCGAGTGCGCTCCGTCTGCCGGGCACGAGGTGTCCGAGCCCAGGCCCGCCCGACTGCTCCCTGAGCTTGCCCCTCTGGGCCTGCCGTGCCCTGCACTGTGCCCCCCGGCGGGGGCGCCGGCCTTTGCCAGGGCACCGGGGAGGCGCATCTGGCCAGGGCAGCCTCTCCCGGGGACGCCCGTGCCCGTGGGCCCGTCAGGTCCCAGTGCGGGGCCGCAGGGAGGCACGGAGACCTCAGGCCCCTGTGGACCCTGGACTCGTGGTCCCAGCTGCCCACCCAGCCCTGTGAGGAGCGCTGGGCCCCCCAGCTGGGAGGAGACACCGGACTGCCTCCCGTCCTGGCCAGAAGAGCCCAGGGCCCACCCGGGAGTGAGGTGGGCCTCACCCGGGTCTCCCTCGCGTGGCCCTGCCCTCACCGCCTCACCCCTGCACACTGGCCCTGGGCCCAGGCGGGCCGGGCAGTCTGGCCTCCCAGGCTCTCCAGGGGCCTGGGGCGGCCGGCTGGCGCTGGCCCCCCCCCCGCCAGCTCCCGGCCCTGTCCTGAGCCCATCGCGGTGCCGACGGGGAGACTGAGGCCTGGCACTGCTCACAGCCCCAGGGGAGCCCCGGCCCCTGCACCCGCCTCACGCCCGCCCCCTGTTCCAGAGCCCCGCGCTGCACTCCCCCTGGTGGAGCCCCTGCCCACAGGCGCCGTTCCCAGCCTACGCCAGCGAGAGCCAGTGAGTGGGCAGGGCTGGGGGGGGCGGGCGAGGAGGGCAGCGCTGCGCCCGCCGTGCGGGAACCCTGGAGGGGCCACGTCGGGCTGTCGCGGCCCGTGGCTGCCGAGTGCCCATCCTGGGCCCTGGAGGGCAGCCCTGGGCAGCGGGTCCCGCTCCCCGTCAGCCCCGTCACCCCCTCCCCTCCCGCCCCCAGCCAGTTCACAAGCACCGCCCCCTTCCTCGGCGGCCAGCCCTGCCCGGACACCAGCTATGCCCCCGTGGCCTCCGCCTCCAGCCTCCTGCCAGAGAGCAGCGACTTCCCTCAGGTAGGAGAGGCCGGGCGTGTGGTGGGGTCTGCAGGCCCTGCTGCCCACCCCGGGACCCAGCGACCTTGGCTGGGCCGCAGGCCCTGGGGTTTGTGGGAGGCCGTGGGCAGGGAGCATGGCTGGTGCTTTGTGGGTCACTGGGGCCCGGGCCCCCGGGCCACCAGCTGCGAAGAGCGAGCCCCAGCCGGCCCTAGAGTCCCTGGCTGGGGGTGGGGGGCGTCGGAGGCCTGCCCACGCCCCTGCCCTGACCTCGGGTCAGTACGAGGACCTGTGGCAACACAGGAAGAGCGGGCACCCAGGGTCACCCTCCCCGTGTGCCCAGACGGTGGGAGTGTCGATGTCCCTGGGCAAAGCAGAAGGCAGGGAGAGGGTGGTCTGGTGCCCTGGGACCCCGGGGGCCGCTCAGCTCCGTGACCCCTCCCGTGTCTGCCGTCGCCTAGGTGGGGTGGACGTCAGAGCTGCTGGCCCCCCACCCCGCCACTGCCCCCAGCTCGCCCTCCTCTGTCCCTGCCTGTCTCCCCCTCCCTGTGATGTGTTCGGGGCCCCGTCTGCCCTGGGTCCCACCACAGCTCCACTGACACGTGTGCGGCCGAGCGCCTGCTGCGCCTGCCCCTCAGGGCAGTGGGCCGGGTGTGGCGGGTCGGGGAGGCGGGTGGGCGTTGCTGGCAGCCTCAGCCCCGGGGCTCCTGCTTCTTGGAGCCAGCAGAGTCCTGACCTGAGCCTGGCGTGAGAGGCTTTCACGGCCGTGTCCTGGCCGGCCCAGATGTGTGACAGTGGCGGCCGGCACGGCGGTAGCCCCAGAGCTGTGCCCGCCTCGTCCCAGAGCCTGTGGACTTCACGCAGGCTCCTGGTCACCCCAGCGTCCCGAGCGGGGCAGGAGGGGCCGCGTCGGGGAGACGCTAGAGGAGGCCGAGCTGCTGGCCTGGACCATGGAGGAAGGGGCCGGGAGCCAGGGAGCAGCCAGGAGCTGGGAATGCCGGGGCCGGCTCCCCCCGCCAGCCCTGCCGCACCTGGCGCTGGCATCGGGCACAGAGGAGGCGTTGTCTGACGGCAGGAAGGGGAACCGTGCGTGCGCTAGCGCCGCCGGAGGGCTCGGGAGGAGTCGGGCAGGCAAACCCAGAGCTGGGTAGGCAGCCGCAGGCTACAGCACGCCAGCTGGCGACCACCGGAGCCGCTTCCTGGCGGCCGGAGCGGAACGAGACAGGGGCCGGCCCGTGTGGCCCTGCCACCCACGGGAGAGAGCAGAGCTGCCCAGCTGGGTGGGGCAGCTCCCCGGGGTTCCTGCAGTGCGAGGGTGGGCGCTCCTGGCCTTGGTGCTGGCCGCCCTGGCTGCCGTCAGCCCTCCCCGGCTTCTGCACTTGAGCCCTTCAGGGCCCCGGGGCGCAGGACCCCGGAGCGGCCAGTTGCGGGCAGCTGCTTGCTTTCTGGAGACACAGGGCTCCGGGGAGAGGACACTGCTCCCAGGAGCGCCGGGTCAAGTGGGGCCCCACGCCTGGCCCAGGGCTCCGGGAGCTCTGTGAGGCCGTCCGCACGCCTGAATGTTCTAGAGAAGCTGGGGACCCCCAGACTCCCCCGCGCCTCCTCCATGGGGCGGGCAGGGGTGCTCCCCGGGCAGCACCTCGGTGGGGCAGCGGTGACGCTGTGCCCGGCTCGGGCCGTGTAGCGTCCACGGCCGGCGTGCTGAGTTTTGACCTGCGGCATCAGCGCGCCGCCCGGTCCCTCCGTGGGAGGCTGTGCAGGGCCCCCTCCTCGCAGAGGGGCAGCGGGCGTGTCCGGCATCGCGTTCCGCCGGCGACGGGAGCTGAGTGGGCTGCTCCCTCCCTCCTCCTCCCTACGGCCAGGTCGGAACTCTGCGGCCCCGGCCCTCGTGCTCAGCATCGGGGCCTCCGTGTGGCCAGCAGGTGCGGGTGCAGAGATGTGTTTGCTGCGTGGCCACATCAGGGGCTGGGCAGGTGTGTGTGACCTGCTCTGCCTCATCCGCCCGCCTGGGCCTTCGGGGCTTCTGAGTGCGCGAGGCCTGCCCCCGGGGGTGGTCCCGGCGTGCTGCCCGGGCCTGCGGGAAGTGCTCAGCTTGGACGCCCTGCTCAGTGACCTCGGACAGCCTGAGCCTGGAGGGCAGGCCCGGTGGGGGTCTCAGAGCCGTGGGGTACAGTGTGAGGGGTGCAGGTGTGAGGGGTGCAGGTGTGAGGGGTGTAGTTTGGAGCTGCAGGGGTGTATGGATGCAGGTGTAAGTACAGGTGTGTGTGGATGCAGGTGCAGGGGTGTAGCGTGGATGCAGGTGTGTGGATGCAGGTGCAGGGGTGTAGCGTGGATGCAGGGGTGTGGGTGCAGGTGCAGGGGTGTAGCGTGGATGCAGGTGTGTGGATGCAGGTGCAGGGGTGTAGCGTGGATGCAGGTGTGTGGATGCAGGTGCAGGGGTGTAGCGTGGATGCAGGGGTGTGGGTGCAGGTGCAGGGGTGTAGCGTGGATGCAGGGGTGTGGGTGCAGGTGCAGGGGTGTAGCGTGGATGCAGGTGTGTGGATGCAGGTGCAGGGGTGTAGCGTGGATGCAGGTGCAGGGGTGTAGCGTGGATGCAGGTGTGTGGATGCAGGTGCAGGGGTGTAGTGTGGCTGCAGGTGCAGGGGTGTGTGGATGCAGGTGCAGGGGTGTAGTGTGGATGCAGGTGCAGGGGTGTGTGTGGATGCAGGGGTGTGGGTGCAGGTGCAGGGGTGCCGTGTGTGGGTGCAGGTGGGTGGGGCCCTGGGGATGTGTGTGGGTGCAGGGGTGTAGTGTGGATGCAGGTGCAGGGGTGTAGTGTGGCTGCAGGTGCAGGGGTGCAGGTGTGTGTGGGTGCAGGTGCAGGGGTGTGGATGCAGGTGCAGGGGTGCCATGTGTGGGTGCAGGTGGGTGGGGCCCCGGGGGTGTGTATGGGTGCAGGTGGGTGGGACCCCGGGGTGTGGGGCTGCAGGTCCATGGGTGAGGGTGGCCACGCTGTCGGTGGTGCACCCGCAGGCCCTCTGCACCTGTGCCTCCAGCCGTGGCTGAGCCCTCGAGGGGCCCCCGGGCTCTCCTGGGCCTGGTGCTGCTGGCACCCCGGCCCACCTGCCTGTGCCTGTCTGGTCGTCTTCCCGCGCCCGCGGCTCCCGCCCTGCAGGGAACAGCCCTGCAGAGCGGCTCCGGGCGTGCCCTCTGGGCTCTCCTGAGCACCTCACGCCCTGGGCCCCTCCTGGCCTCGGCCCCTGGGCTGTCCCGAGGGCCGTGGCGCTGGGTGTGGCCACTGGCCTCTCCGTGGGGCCTCCCCCGCCGGTCGGCAGAACAGGGCGCCCACCGCACGTCCCCCAGGAGTGAGCGCCTCGGGGAGCGTGTCCGGGAACAGCGCTGCCTGCCAGCCCGGGGCTTCTGGGAAGCCGGGCTGAGCTCACAGCCCAGGAAAGCGCCAGGCAGCCTCGCGGCCTGCGGCAGCCGGCACAGGCAGGGCTGCACATCGACCCTCAGCTGGGTCTCCGCAGGGTCAGAGGTCTCGCCCGGCTCCCCCCAGTTACCAGCACGGGCGGCGCGGGAGAGCGCTCTCTTCTTACAGGAAGCCCTTCTGCCCCAGGCCTGGGCTCGGGGCGGCCGCCCCACGCAGGACTCCCGCGGGGTGAGGCCCAGCCGCACTGCGGCGCCCGTGACGGGCAGGAGGGAGCGCAGACTCCAGCCCAGCCCCGAGGTGTCAGTGAGGCGGGGGTGGGGCCGGGGTCCCGGGGGTCTCCCCCACCCTTACCCCTCCCTGGGCATGAAGCAACGCCTGCACTGGCGCAGGTACCCACCCGACCCACGGTGTCACGGGGAGGGCGGTCAGTGAGGGAGGACGGCAGGCAGGAGGCCAGGGAGGCGGGCGTGAGGGCGCCCACAGCCGTCAGGGGCTCCCGAGCCCCCAGCCCCCCCAGGCCCTGCCTAGCCTCACGCCCCGCCTGCCTGCTGGCCTCAGCCCTGCGAACGCTGCCCGCTGGGCCGCACCCAGGGGCGGGGGCCGGCAGCCCCGTCCTCAGCCCTGAGCCCAGGACAGAGCTGCTCCGGGGCCACTGCGCCCTGTGCCGCCTGCAGTGCTGGGGGGCCGCTCTGGGGGCCGAGGGGGGAGAGGTGCTCCCAGGCCGAGGGGGGCCGTCCGGCAGCCTCCCTGGGCAGACCACCCCAGCCCTGGGCCTGCTCCCTGGGCGCCATCTGGACCTCTGGAGCCAGGGACAGCGAGAGCCCTCTGTCCGTCTCCTCTCCTGCTCCCCCACCCCCAACTGTATCCCAGCGAGAGCTCGCGCCTGCTGGTCCTCCACCAATGCCTGCAGGAGGCAGGCCAGGCCCGGCCAGGCGCTCGGGGTCTCCCACCGGGCAGGGCCCAGGCACCCGGGCCATCGTCCTCCCCCCAGGGTTAGCGGGGCTCTGGATCGGAAGTGGAGGGGCCGGGACTGGGCCAGGCACTGTGGTGCGGGGTCTGGTGTGGGATGCGGGCCCCCAGCCTGAGCCGCTGAGCCGCTGAGCCGCGCGCCTGCCCCTCGTTCTTTCTGGAAGGGAGACAAAACGCACAGATACCTTAGAAGTGACCCTGTTTGAAGCCTTCCAGAGCCCGGCGGCCACCGCTACCCTGGACCCAGAACCTTCTCACCCCAAAAGAAAGCTCGTCCCCGTGTCCAGTCAGCTCCGGCCTCCCCAGCCCTCCCATCCCCGTGGAGCCCCTGTCCTGGCCCTGTCCAGTCAGCTCCAGCCTCCCCAGCCCTCCCGTCCCCGTGAGCCCCTGTCCTGGCCGTGTCCAGTCAGCTCCAGCCCTCCCGTCCCCGAGAGCCCCTCTCCTGGCCCTGTCCAGTCAGCTCCAGCCTCCCCAGCCCTCCCGTCCCCGTGAGCCCCTGTCCTGGCCGTGTCCAGTCAGCTCCAGCCCTCCTGTCCCCGTGAGCCCCTGTCCTGGCCCTGTCCAGTCAGCTCCGGCCTCCCCAGCCCTCCCGTCCCCGTGAGCCCCTGTCCTGGCCGTGTCCAGTCAGCTCCAGCCTCCCCAGCCCTCCCGTCCCTGTAAGCCCCTCTCCTGGCCCTGTCCAGTCAGCTCCAGCCTCCCCAGCCCTCCCGTCCCTGTAAGCCCTGTCCTGGCCCTGTCCATCTGTGGAGCCCACGCGGGAGGCCTCTGTGTCTGTCTCCTTGGCCGTGGCGCCCTCAGGGCCGTCCATGCCGTAGCCGTGTCAGAGCCCCGGCCCTGCTCCTGCCGCGTGCTGCTCCCTGTGCCCGCCCACCTGCTGCTGGACCCTGGGGCCATCTTGGCGGAGAGTGGACGAGCGCTGTGCGGAGGTGCATGGCAGGAGGGGAGCGGCCGGGCTGGCGTCTGCGCGTCAGCTCCCACCGGCCCTGCTCACCACCACCCCCAGCACTTGTGCGCCGGGGAGGGCCCCGTGCTGCCTTGTTTTCAAGAGGTCACAGAGAGAGAGGAAGAGACAGAGAGCTTCCATCTGCTGGTTCCCACCCCAGATGGCCACAGCAGCCAGGGCTGGGCCAGGCTGAAGCCGGGAGCCGGGGGCTCCATCCGGTCTCCCCATGGGTGCAGGGGCCCGGCACTCGGGCCATCACCGCTGCTCTCCCAGGTGCTGGAGAGGGAGCTGGGAGCAGGAGCTGGGTGGGAAGTGGAGCGGCCGGGACGCGAACCAGCGCCCATGTGGGAGGCCGGCTCTGCAGGCTACACCCCTGCACCCCCACACACCTGGCCTTGACTCACGTCTCCCGCTCTGGGCTCCCTGGCTGTTGGTCTGACAACGTCCCCAGCAGCGGGGCCCGGGCCGCCCTTGTCCTCCCTGGCTTCCCGGTGGTCACGCTGGCCCTCCGCTCCCCGCTCTGCGGGGCCAGCGCGGACCCACAGGCGTCTGGGGTGACGATTGGCTCCCCCCGGCCTGTGTCCCCTCCCCTCCTTCAGAGGAAGCTGCAGGGTGGGATCTCCCCTGGCAGGACCGGGTCCGGGGGGGGGGGGACGGTGGTGCCACAGCAGGCTCCGCACACGGCTCTGCCCCGTCCTGCGCTGCCTGGCTGGGGAGGGAGGCAGCAGGTGGGGCCCAGCCTGGCCTGCGGGGGGCGCCCCGTGGAGGGGCCTGGGTTGGCCCCGCCCCCGCCCCAGCCCGCAGAGGCCCCAGGGTCGGGGGCGCGCGCCCCCTCAGCCCTGTGCCCGCGCTGCGTGCCCGCGGGCGCGCCCGCCCGCCGCCGCTGTTGACAGCCGTCTGTGGCTGGATTCCGCCCCGTACGGTAATTGTCCTGCCTGCCAGGAATCGCCCTGACTTACCAGGCAGGCATCACTTCCTGAAAGTGAGCCCCGGCCTTAGAGGAAGCAGGCGCGAGGCGAGGCGCGGTGACTAAACCGACATGCAAATGCAGCCCCGGCCGAGCGCCGCGCCCGCCGCCCGCTGATGCCGGCGCGGCCGCCACGCGCCTCCACCATGTCCCAGCTGCAGTTCTGGCTGCAGCCCGCGGCTCTCGACCAGGTAACCGACCCCCGGCCGCCCCGGCCCGCTCTCCTCTGGCAGCCGGCGTGCGTCCGGGATGTCCCAAGACAGCTTTGGGAACTTGCCATGGGGAGCGACCGTCCCGTCCCGGGGAGCTGGGGTGGCGCGGGGGAGGGGGCTTGGCAGCCGCCAGCCCAGCGGGGGGTTCTGCCCGAGTCCCAGCCAGGCGGTGGGGGCTGCTCAGCCCCTGTGGGGCGCCGGGGAGGGCAGGAGGCCAGGTGGGGTCCCCAGGAGCCCGAACTTCTGGGGTCTCGGGTCAGCGTCCGGGCCAGGAGGGGGTGTGTCCACCGCCCCGGGAGGCTGGAGGGGGGAGGTACCCTGCCCTCCCACAGCCTGGGAAGCGGCCTGCAGGTGGGTGTGCAGCGGGGTCGGGGCCCCCGCCTGGGCAGTGACGCTGCCTGGGGAACAGAGGTTGGGGTGGCTGTCTGGGGTGGGGACCGTCGTGGAGTTCAGCTGGTGGCTGCCGGGAGTGAAGTCCTGACGTGTCCTGGGGAGGTATCTGCTGTCACCACCCCCACGACTGAGCCACCCACCTACGACAGGCTGGACGAGGGGCCCCTGGGAGCCCCCCCACCCCCACGACAGCCACCCACCCACGACAGGGCTGGATGAGGGGCCCCTAGGAGCCCCTCCACCCCCACGACTGAGCCACCCACCCATGACAGGCTGGACGAGGGGCCCCTGGCAGCCCCCCCCACCCCCACGACAGCCACCCACCTACGACGGGGCTGGACGAGGGTCCCTGGGAGCCCCCCCACCCCCACGAAGGGGGAGGCCAGTGTGGCAGGAGCAGCCTGCACCACTGGGGTGCATGGGTGGGAGGGGCACCGCCGAGCTGGCTTTGTGGGCGGTTTTAGGGTTTCAGATCTGCAGGGGGGCCTAGACCCTGCCCCCACTGATAATGTCCCTCATTGCCTGTGCCTTTGTTGCCAGCTGGGAGTGGACACGCCTCCCCACACAGTGTCCACGCTGTGGCCGGCCTGCTTCGGGCCCCTGTGGACTGTGGCATTGCTTCTGCAGGGTGCCCCTAGGCCGGCTCATGCCGGACGGGGCAGGAGGCCTGGGGAGGGAGACCGTGGAGCTGTGGGCCCTGGGCGCCGCGTCTGGTTGGGGTGCCTGGTGCTCCCAGGTCGGGGGAGACGCCGTGCCAGGCCCGGGAAGCAGGGGCTCTGTGTGGCGGCCTCCCTCCCCTCACGGCATCGTCACCCCACTGTCGAGCTGGGGAGGTGGCCCAAGGTGGGGCCGCTGCGATGTGACCGTCCTGGCTTCCTGGCCCTGTGGGGCATCCACCCTCGCTGCCTGGTCCCATGCCCGCCCTCCCGCGGCCCCAGGCCTGCCTCCTCTCTGGGGACTGGGGCTCCCTCCCACCAACTGTGAGCGCAGAAGGGGGCAGGGCAGCTGGGCCGGGTGCTGTCCTCAGGACTCTCCGGGGCCTGTGCTGGTTCGCACCAGGTGCCCTCGGCTGCCTCTCCAGGCAAGGGGGCTGGGGGCCCCTCAGGCCCTCTCCCCAGCCCCAGGTAGTCCCAAGGGTGGCTTAGCCTGGGAGACTGGAGCCGCTGGGGGTCTCCAGGGCCTGCTGACCAAGGGCCTTGTGTCCCCCAGCGAAGCCCAGGCTGAGGTGGGGGGCAGGGGGCGCCTTCCTGCTGCCCCAGGGAACGGGGCACTGACCCCCCGTGTCAGGAAGACACTCCCTGCGCTCAGGGCTCAGGACGGGGTCTGGCGATCTGGTGTAGCAGATGGGGGGCCTGGCCAGGGCTCAGGTCCCTGCAAGACAGGCCATCATGGCCACCCGCAGCCCAGGGCTGCCTCGGGGGTCTCTGGTGGGGGTGACGGGCTGGGGAGACAGCAGCTGCCGCAGCTGTGCCTCGTGTTTGAAAGGAGTCGGGCGCAGGCAGGGACCTCCGCCCCCAGCCCCGCAGCACGTGGCCCTGGGGCCTGGCGTCTCACTCCGGGCTCCCTATCCCTTTCTAGAACATTCCTGAGATGTGGCTGTGCTGTGTGGTCCTCACTTGAGGGTGCCCGGCTCAGTGGGCTTAGTGCATTGAGTCTTGCGGCCGTCACCCAACAGCAGCCCTGTCCCCGGGCGCAGGGACCCCGAGCTTCCCCCGTCCTGGCCACGTGGCGTGGCCTCTGTGTCCGCGTCTCTCCCGGGTCCCTCCGTGGGGCAGCCTGGCCCTGCTCCTGGCTGTGTGGTGCTGCCTGTGGGTGTGGACTCCGGCCACCTGGCCTGTCTTCCAGGACCCCTCGTACCTCGAGGACCTCTCCAACGCCTCCATCTTCTCCTCGTCCGTGGACTCCCTGTCGGACATCGCCGACACCCCTGACTTCCTGTCGGTGGACAGCCTCAGCCAGGTGCCCACCATCTGGGATGTGAGCACCCCCTCGTCTGCGCAGGACAAGGTCAGTGCGCCCAGAAGCCGACTGGATGCTGGTTCTCTCCGGGCCTGCTCCCGGCACGGCGTGGGTGGGGGCCGGGGCTGTGCCGGGGCTGTGTGGGCCCTGTCCCGTGGAAGCACACAGGCGTCCGCAGGCCAGGTGGCTGTCAGCCTGCTGGGCCCTGGGCTAGTGCTGGCCGTGCGCCTGTCCAGAGGGTTCCTCCTGCAGGACGTGGGCGGCCGGGGCCAGACTCCGGCCCGTTTCTGGTGGTGGCATCCGGTGGGGAGGCAGGGCCACTACCGGGCCCTGTGAGCTGTGTTGGACGTGCCTGGAGCAGGGCACGTGCCGGCCCTCCGTGGGCACCAGTAGACGCAGGCCCTCGGCACAGGTGGGCGAGGTGGGGGCTTGCGGCCAGCAGGGAGGCAAGAGGCGCCCGGAGCCCGGACGGCCTGCAGTGGACAGGCGGGGGTGCCTGAAACCCAAGGCCCAGCACCCCGGCCCGGCTGGGAATCCTGACTCAGCCTTCCGGGAAACCACACTGCCTCTGTTTGTTTACTTTTGTGTTAACTTGGGGGGAAAAAAAGGTGGAATTTGAGTAGACTTGTAACCTCCCCGTGGGCAGCTCCTCTCCCTGACCTCAGAGGCAGCCGTGCTGGCCGGCCAGAGCGGGCAGACCCCTCTAGGGGCGCCAGCAGGGGGCCGAGGGCCGTGTGGAGGGCAGAGCGCCGCCCACCGGCCGACTCCCCGGATGCCGGCAGCAGCCGGGCTGGGCTGGGCAGGGCTGGGCAGGGCTGGGCGGGGCTGGGGCCAGGAGCTCCGTCCAGGTCCAGCTCTAGGTCCAGCTCCGTCCAGGTCTCCCCTGCAGCCTCCGGGGGCCCGAGCACGGGGTCCCTCGCTGCTCCTCCCAGGGCTCGCATCCTGGAGGTGCAGCCGGGGCCTGCGTGCCTGGGTGTGGCTGACCGCCGAGCCCACGCCCCGCCCCCGTTCTGTCTTCACACTCGCGTGTGTGTGTGTGTGTGTGTGTGTGTGATGGGCTCACCTGGCTGGCAGGAGTTTGTAGGGCTTTTTTTTTTTTTTTTTTTGAGTGTGGTGTTTTGGAATCACGCAGACCGGCAGGACCCTGCCTGTCCTACCCACGCATCCCAGCCTCAGTGTTGTGGTCTGGACAATGGGTGTGACCGTTGCGGGCCCCAGGGAGTGGGCGTGTCCAGCTGGGCCTTGTGGGTTTGGGTCCCCCAGGTCCTCTGCAGGCTGAGGGTGCCACGTGCCTCGGGCATGCAGACGCGTCCCGGGAGGCCACCACACCCGGTGCCCGGCCTGGAGCCAGTGGGCCGGGGCCGGTGCCTCTGTCCACCTGGGCCGGGCTGGGGTCTGGGATGTGTTGGGTCACTCGTGGTGGGACTCTGCAGCCAGTGCCCGAGCCTACAGGTGGCACGGGCCCCCCACTGCAGCGTCAGGGCCAGCCGGGTGGAGAGGAGGCCCAGTGCCCGGGCGACCGCTGGCGCTGTCACCCCGGGGTGAGCTCGCGCCTGTCCTGAGGTCAGCCCACGCTGCCAGCCCGCACCGGGCCTGGGCGGTGCACGCTGACCTCCCACTGCGCCCCCAGCTGTTCCTGCCCGGCGTGGCCTTTCCCAGCCTGCAGGAGCCGGCACCCTCGCTGCCCAGCACCCCGCTCCTCGTCAGCTACCAGGTGAGCAGGCCAGGTCCCCCGGCCCCCCAGCAGGGGGCGCCTGAGGGCCAGGCAGGACCCCGGCGTCCAGGCCCGGGAGCAGGGGGCGCCTGAGGGCCAGGCAGGACCCCAGCGTCCAGGCCGCTGCCCGGGGGTGGCGGGGCGGTCCCCTGGACCCGACTCTGTCTCCAGTCGCAGACGCAGCCCGAGGAGGAGGAGGAGGAGGAGGAGGCCGAGGAGCTGGGCCATGCCGAGACCTACGCGGACTACGTGCCCTCCAAGTGTGAGTGGCCCAGGCCCGCGAGCGCGTGGGGAGGGCGTGGCCTCCCGCTCGGCTCTCACGGCCCGCCCCGCCCCTCCCCTCCCCGCAGCCAAGCTCGGGAGGCAGCACCCGGACCGCGTGGTGGAGACCAGCACGCTGTCGAGTGTGCCGCCCCCGGACGTCACCTACTCCCTGGCGCTGCCCGCCTCGGACAGTGGCGCCCTGTCGGCGCTGCAGCTGGAGGCCATCACCTACGCCTGCCAGGTGAGCTGCGCACCGGGGGGGGGGGGGGGGGGGTGTGCGGCCGCGGCCGCAGGCCCTGACCGCCCCCGACCCCGCAGCAACACGAGGTCCTGCTGCCCAGCGGCCAGCGTGCCGGCTTCCTCATCGGCGACGGCGCCGGCGTGGGCAAGGGCCGCACGGTGGCCGGCATCATCCTGGAGAACCACCTGCGGGGCCGGAAGAAGGCGCTCTGGTGAGGGGGCGGGGCGGGGGCCGTGGGGCGGGGCGGGGAGAAGGCGCTCTGGTGAGGGGGCGGGGCGAGGGCCATGGGGCGGGGCCGGGAGAAGGCGCTCTGGTGAGGGGGCGGGGCGGGGCGGGGGCCGAGGGGCGGGGCGAGGGGCGGGGCCGGAAGAAGGCGCTCTGGTGAGGGGGCGGGGCGGGGCGGGGGCCGAGGGGCGGGGCGAGGGGCGGGGCCGGAAGAAGGCGCTCTGGTGAGGGGGCGGGGCGGGGGCCGCGGGGCGGGGCGAGGGCCGTGGGGCGGGGCGGGGAGAAGGCGCTGTGGTGGGCGGGGCGGGAAGAAGGCGCTGTGGTGAGGGGGCGGGGCGGGGGCAGTGGGGCAGGGGCGGGGCGAGGGCCGTGGGGCGGGGCGGGGAGAAGGCGCTGTGGTGGGCGGGGCGGGAAGAAGGCGCTGTGGTGAGGGGGCGGGGCGGGGGCCGCGGGGCGGGGCGAGGGCCGTGGGGCGGGGCGGGGAGAAGGCGCTGTGGTGGGCGGGGCGGGAAGAAGGCGCTGTGGTGAGCGGGGCGGGGCGGGGGCAGTGGGGCAGGGGCGGGGCGAGGGCCATGGGGCGGGGCGGGAAGAAGGCGCTGTGGTGAGCCCTGCCCCACGGGGGCGGGGCCGCGGTCTGAGGGGGGCTGGATGGGGGCCTCCGGGGGAGGGGGCCTTGGGGGCGGGGTGGGGCCTTGGGGGCGGGGACAGGGCGGGGCCTCCTGCCAGACACCGGTTCTGCCCTCCGTTCAGCATCTCCAGTGGGGGCGGTGGGCAGCAGGGATGGGCCGTGGGGGCAGGGCCGGGCCTCCTGACACCGGCTCTGCCCCAGGTTCAGCGTCTCCAATGACCTCAAGTACGACGCGGAGCGCGACCTGCGGGACATCGAGGCGCCGGGCATCGCGGTGCACGCGCTGAGCAAGGTGGGGGCGTGGGCCGGGGTCGCCTCGGGCAGGCTGCCCCGCCCAGCGCCCCTTATAGGTGGGTAAACGGAGGCCTCCCTGCCCCCTCCCGCACCCCCAGATCAAGTACGGGGACAACACTACCTCAGAGGGCGTCCTGTTCGCCACCTACTCGGCCCTGATCGGGGAGAGCCAGGCCGGCGGCCAGCACCGCACGCGCCTGCGGCAGATCCTCGAGTGGTGCGGCGAGGCCTTCGACGGCGTCGTATCCTGGGCCTCCACGGGGTGGGAGCCCGGGCCCAGCCACGGTTCCCTGTCCCTCCGCCTTCCTGCTCGGGGGCTGGGACTTTGCCCGCCAGGCAGGGGCCTGGGCTGAGGGGCCGCACGCAGGGCCCGAGCGGGGCGTGTCCAGTGCCCGCCCTGCCCGGCACGCCCCCCCGGCCCCAGCCCAGCCACAGCAGCACCGGCCCTGCCTGGCCTGTGGCCGGCTGCAGCCAGGGTGTTTCCTCCGAGGGTCACTGTGGTTGTCAGCGACCCCGGCCCCCGCACCGGTCTCCCCCGGGGGGCGGGGACGTCCCCAGACACTGGAGCTGTCACGCGGGGACTGCCAGGTCCGGAGGCCGCCGCCTCCGTGTCTCGCCTCTGGGGAGGCCCACTTGCTTCCAGAACGTTCCTTAACCCACCCCCGCCCCAGATCATATTTGACGAGTGCCACAAGGCCAAGAACGCCAGCTCCACCAAGATGGGCAAGGCCGTGCTGGACCTGCAGAACAAGCTGCCGCTGGCCAGAGTGGTGTACGCCAGCGCCACAGGTGGGCCCGGGCCGGGGCTGGGCGGGCGGCGTGGCCCCCGCAGGGTCCTGGGTCTGCGCCCCACTTCCCCCGGTCCTGGGGACTCAGCTGGGCCGGGGCAGCTCACGCGGCCAGGCCAGGCCTTCCCAGGCCCCCGTCCCGGCCCCGGGGTCCTGTGCACCTCCCAGACCGCAGCCCCACGGGCAGGGCGGGGAGCTGACGCCGCCCCCCCCCCCCCGCAGGCGCCTCGGAGCCCCGGAACATGATCTACATGAGCCGCCTGGGCATCTGGGGCGAGGGCACGCCCTTCCGCACCTTCGAGGACTTCCTGCACGCCATCGAGAAGAGGTGGGCGCCCGCGCCGCGCCGCGCCCGGCTGCCCGCGCGGTGGCCCGGGCTCTGTGCGCCCTCACCCCGGCCTCTGCCCTCCGCAGGGGCGTGGGCGCCATGGAGATCGTGGCCATGGACATGAAGGTCAGCGGCATGTACATCGCGCGCCAGCTCAGCTTCTCGGGCGTCACCTTCCGCATCGAGGAGATCCCGCTGCCCCCGGCCTTCGAGCGCGTCTACAACCGCGCGGCCCTGCTGGTGAGCCGGCCTCGGCCGTCTGCTCCCCCGTCCTGCCCGCGTGCTGGGCGGTCCTCTCTCCCACACCCGTGGCGCCCGCCAGCCCCAGCCCTGCCCGCGTGCTGGGCGGTCCTCTCTCCCACACCCGTGGCGCCCGCCAGCCCCAGCCCTGCCCGCGTGCTGGGCGGTCCTCTCTCCCGCACCCGTCGCGCCCGCCAGCCTCAGCCCTGCCCGGCTCCGGCTCCCCCAGGGCCTCCCCTGTGCTCTGTTGACTTCCTGTCCTGGGCCCCTGTGGGTGTAGAGCAGCGGCCCTGGCTGCCCCAGCTCTGTGCCAGGAACACCCCCAGTGCCAGCAGCACACGTGTCCCCAGAAGTCCCCCGGGGTGCAGTCGCCCTGGGAGGCCCGAGACAGGCCAGCACTGCGCAGACACCCAGCCCCTCCCCCGTCATCTGTGCCGCGCCGGCCCCTCCCCCGTGTCTGTGGGCCTGTGCCGCGTCGGCCCCTCCCCGTGTCTGTGGGCCTGTGCTGTGCCATGCCGGCCCCTCCCCGTGTCTGTGGCCCTGTGCCGCGCCGGCCCCTCCCCCGTGTCTGTGGGCCTGTGCTGTGCCGCGCCGGCCCCTCCCCTGTGTCTGTGGCCCTGTGCCGCGCCGGCCCCTCCCCCTGTCATGTGTGGGCCTGTGCTGTGCCGCGCTCACTGTCTTTGGGCCCTGGCTGTGCTGGTGCGGGAAGGGCACTGTGCTGCCCACGGCACAGGCGCCCCCGTGTGCCCTGGGCCGTGGGCAGGCGTGGGCGCGGCCAGCTCAGTCTGCACCGTGCCGTGCCTTGCAGTGGGCCGAGGCCCTGGCCGTGTTCCAGCAGGCGGCCGACTGGATCGGCCTGGAGTCGCGCAAGTCCCTGTGGGGCCAGTTCTGGTCGGCCCACCAGCGCTTCTTCAAGTACCTGTGCATCGCCGCCAAGGTGCGCCGGCTGGTGGAGCTGGCGCGCGAGGAGCTGGCCCGCGACAAGGTGGGCTGCGCAGGCCCTGAGCGCCCGCCGCCACAGACCAGCCCAGGGCAGGACCCAGCCCTGCTCACGCACCCCCCCCCCACCCCCTCCCCGCAGTGCGTGGTCATCGGGCTGCAGTCCACGGGCGAGGCGCGCACGCGTGAGGTGCTGGACGAGAACGACGGGCACTTGGACTGCTTCGTCTCCGCTGCCGAGTGAGTGGCGTGGTGGGCACGGCCAGCAGGGTTCCCCAAGTGCCTGGGGAGACCCCACTGTGGGGGCCAGAGCTGGGGGCCGGGGGCGGGGCCTCAGGAGGCTGCTGGGTGTCCACCCCCCGCCGGGTCAGCAGGCCCACTCCCTGCCTGCTGCCCGGGCTGCCCGCTCCCACCCCACCCCCACCCGGGGTTTGGCCTCATCCTCTGGAGGTGGGCAGTGGAAGAGCTGAGGGGGCCTGTGGTGCCCAGCCCTCTGGTGCCCAGCCGGCACCCTGCTCCCTTGGTGCCCACCCCCCCAGTGCCCATCCCCCTGGCACGCACCCCCCTGGCGCCCTGCTGGTGCCCTGCCCCCCGGATCCCAGCCCCCTGGTGCCCACCCCCCTGGTGCCCTGCTGGCGCCCTGCTCCCCTGGTGCCCAGCCCCCCGGTGCCCTCCCCCCCACCCCGTGCCCAGCTCCAAGCCCCGCCCTCTGAGCACCGGAGGCCCCGCCCTCCCCGGCACAAACCCTGCTCTCCCTGGCAGGGGCGTCTTCCTGTCACTCATTCAGAAGCACTTCCCCTCCGCCAAGCGCCGCCGGGACCGCGGAGCGGGGGCCAAGAGGAAACGTGAGCACCCGGCTGCCCCCGCCCAAGCCTGGGGGTCCTGGCCCTGCTGCCCTCTGACCCTCGCCAGACAGGCGTGGGCTCCACAGTGGGGGGCCTGTGCAGACCCCAGCCCCACAGGGAAGTCCCCAGGGACAGGGAGCGCCGGCAGCCTGCGGGGAGGGAACCCCGGGGACCCGGGAGGGCGACAGAGTCACGGACACCCTGGCCCAGGTCCCCGCGGGGCCCGGCACTCTGCCATCAGGCCCGGGCCCAGGAACCCCCCTCCCCAGCCAGAGGGTCCTGTGGGCTGAGTGACCTCCCCAGCCGTCCTGCTGCCCCGAGGTGACCCGGCCCCCTCCTGGCAGGGCGGCCGCGGGGCCGCGGGGCCAAGGCTCCCCGGCTGGCGCTGGAGGCGGGCGGCGTGATCCGGATCAGTGACGACAGCAGCACGGAGTCGGACGCCGGGCTGGACAGCGACTTCCACTCCTCCCCGGAGTCCCTGGTGGACGACGATGTGGTCCTCGTGGACGCCGTCGGGCCCCCTGCCGACGACCGAGGTGCGGGCTGGCCGGCCGGGTCGGGGTGCGGGCCTGCGGCCTGGGGCCCGGCTCCTGCCCCCGGTCTGCGGGTGGGCAGGCCTCCCCGCCCACCTGAGCGGGAGGTGATGCCGCAAGGCCGCCCACTTGCGGAGAAGCAGGCTCGGGGCAGAGCCAGGCAGTGTCCCCAGGCTGCTGGGTCCCCGTGTGTGGCCCCGGGCACCCAGAGAGCGCAGCCTGCCGCCCAGGCCTCTCGTCCAGCTCGCCGTCCCTCGGGCCAGCCCTGCCCCTCCAGAGGCCACACGGCCAGGCGGGGCTGAGTGCCATCCCACCTGCTCCCCGCAGGCCCCCTGTGCCCCCTGCAGAGGGACCCCCAGGGCCCCGGCCCCCTGGAGCGGGTGGAGCGGCTGAAGCAGGACCTGCTGGCCAAGGTGCGGGCGCTGGGCCCGGAGCTGCCGGTCAACACCCTGGACGAGCTCATCGACCAGCTCGGGGGCCCCGAGCGCGTGGCCGAGGTGAGTGCGGGCGCCGGGGCTTCCCACTGCCGCCTCGCGCCTGTCGGAACAGGGGGCCGAGACCTGGGGGGGCCCCGAGCGCGTGGCCGAGGTGAGTGCGGGCGCCGGGGCTTCCTGTGTCAGAACAGGGGGCTGACCACCTGGGGGGGGCCCAGTGCCGGCCCAGGGTCTGGCAGCCCCCGCGCAGCTGGGCGCCCCCGGGTGCAGCCCGGCCCTCACGCCCCGCCCCCACAGATGACCGGCAGGAAGGGCCGGGTCGTGTCCCGGCCTGACGGCACCGTGGTCTTCGAGTCGCGGGCGGAGCAGGGCCTGTCCATCGACCACGTCAACCTCAGAGAAAAGCAGCGCTTCATGAGCGGCGAGAAGGTGCGGGGCCTCCTGGGCTGCAGGGGCCAGGGAGGGGGCCAGGGGGGGCCGGAGAGGGGGCCAGGGGCCGGGGGGGCCGGGGAGGGGGCCTGGGGGCTGCCCTGTGCCCCAGGGGCTGGGGAGGGGGCCGAGGGGGGCCGGGGAGGGGGCCGAGGGGGGCCGGGGAGGGGGGCCGGGGGGCCGGAGAGGGGGCCTGGGGGCTGCCCTGTGCCCTGGGGGCTGGGGAGGGGGGCCAGGGGCTGGGGAGGGGGCCGAGGGGGGCCGGGGAGGGGGGCCGTGGGCTGGGGAGGGGGGCCGGGGGGCGCGGCTGCCTCGCTGACCCCGCCCCGCCCCAGCTGGTCGCCATCATCTCGGAGGCGTCCAGCTCCGGCGTGTCCCTGCAAGCCGACCGCCGGGTCCTGAACCAGCGCCGCCGCGTGCACATGACCCTGGAGCTGCCCTGGAGCGCCGACCGGGCCATCCAGCAGTTCGGTGAGCCTGGCCCCCCAAGGCCAGCCCACCCCCGCGCCGTCCCCTGGCCGGGCCCTGACAGCCCCTCTGCCCGCAGGCCGCACCCACCGCTCCAACCAGGTCTCGGCGCCCGAGTACGTGTTCCTCATCTCGGGGCTGGCCGGTGAGCGCAGGTTCGCCTCCATCGTGGCCAAGCGCCTGGAGAGCCTGGTGAGCGGGGTGGGGGGGTGGGGGGGTGGGGAGGGGCCCAGGAGGGGGGGTGAGGGGGTGGGGGCCCAAGAGGGGGGGCCAGCAGGGGGGGGCCAGGAGGGGGGCCCAGGAGGGGGGGCCAGGAGGGTCCCCGCTGGCCATGGGGGGCCAGGCCCAGGCAGCATGCGGCGCCCCTCCCCACCCAGGGCGCCCTGACCCACGGAGACCGCCGGGCCACGGAGTCGCGCGACCTGAGCAAGTACAACTTCGAGAACAAGGTGCGCTGGTGGGCGTGGGCGGGGCCGCGGGGCCCCCCTGGGCCGGCCCCTGCTCATGCCGCCTGCACCCCCAGTACGGAGCCCGGGCCCTCAGCTGCGTCCTGACCACCATCCTGAACCAGGCGGACAACAAGGTGCCCCTGCCCCAGGGCTACCCCGGAGGGGCCGCCGCCTTCTTCCGGGGTGAGCGGGGCCTGCGCGGGCGCTCTGGGGGCGGCGGGGGTCTGCGGTTGGGAGAGCCCACCCTGTACGCCGGTGGCTGACCCTGGGAGGGTGTCTCGGGGGCCCTGGGAGCTCCTGGTGTCGGGGCAAAGCTGGGGTCCCTGGAACGGGGAGGAGGGGGCTGGGACCCCAACGTGAGCCCCTCCCCCAGACATGAAGCAGGGGCTGCTGTCTGTCGGCATCGGCGGGCGAGAGCTGCGGTCGGGCTGCCTGGACGTGGAGAGAGGTCAGTGCGCGCGCACTCACGCACACACGCACACGCGCGCGGGAGGCGGGTGGGGGGGGCTGCCCAGGCTCACCCCGCCCCTCCCCAGACTGCTCCATCACCAAGTTCCTGAACCGCATCCTGGGCCTGGAGGTGCACAAGCAGAACGCGCTGTTCCAGTACTTCTCCGACACTTTCGAGCACCTCATCCAGCTGGACCGCAAGGAGGGGAAGTACGACCTGGGCATCCTGGGTGAGCGCCGCCCCGCCTCGCGCCGCCCCGCCCCGGCCCCGCCCCGGCCCGCCCCTTCCCCAGCCTGCCTACCCGGCCCCCTGCCCCAGCCTGCCTGCCCGCCCCGCCCAGGCCCGGCCCCGCCCACACCTTCCCCAGCCCGCCCGCCCCGCCCCGCCTCCGGCCTCCGCCCCGCCGCCATCCCAGCCCCGCCCCGGCCCGCCTGTCCTGCCCACCCCCTGCCCCGCCCCGCGCCCCAGCCCGCCTGCCTCGCCTCCGGCCCCGCCCCCAGCCCCGGCCCCGCCCCTCCTGTCCTGCCCACCCTGGCCCCGCCCACCCTTTCCCCAGCCCGCCCGCCCCGCCCCGCCCTGCCTCCGGCCTCCGGCCCCGCCCCCGCCCCGCCCCGCCCGCCTGTCCTGCCCACCCCCTGCCCCGTCCAGGCCCGCCCCCGCCCCGCCCCGCGCCCTGGTGGCCCAGGCTGTGTGCCGGGAAGGCTTTACTCCTAAGAGCTGGCAGAGTCTGCCGGCCTCGGAGAGCAGGGAGCTGGGCTCAGCGGGCGTGGGGGACCCGCACCCCACTCGGGCACCCGGGTTTGAGCCCACCCACCTGGGAGACCTGGGTCGGGTTCCAGCCCTCCCTGGCGTCTGAGCAGTGGCCAGTGGGTGGGGGGCTCAGTGGCCGCGGTGCCCAGAGCCTGGCGCTGTGTGGCGCCCTCTGCCGGGACCCCCAGGGCCTACGTGGGCAGGTGGGCACTCACGCCCCGCCCACCTCTCCGCAGACCTGGCTCCCGGGGTCGACGAGATCTACGAGGAGAGCCAGCAGGTGTTCCTGGCCCCCGGGCACCCGCAGGACGGGCAGGTGATCTTCTACAAGGTGAGAGGCCGCCAGCCCCGCCCCACCCTCTGCCCCGCCCACCCCCGCTAACACCGCGCTGTCCGGCAGATCAGCGTGGACCGCGGCCTCAAGTGGGAGGAGGCCTTGGCCAAGTCGCTGGAGCTGACCGGGCCCTATGACGGCTTCTACCTGTCCTACAAGGTGGCAGCCCCTTCCGCGCACCCACGCAGTGCAGGGGCGGGGCCGGAGCGTGGGCGGGGCCCCCAATGCAGGGGCGGGGCTAGGGCACGGGGGGCCACCCCGCATGCAGGGGCGGGGCCGCGGAGCCCCGCCCTTCTCACCGCCCCCTCCGCAGGTCCGCGGCAGCCGGCCGAGCTGCCTCCTGGCCGAGCAGGGCCGCGGCAAGCACTTCACCGTGTACAAGCCCAACATCGGCCGGCAGAGCCAGCCGGAGACCCTGGACGGGCTCTGCCGCAAGTTCCACCGGGTAGGGGTGCGGCCGCCGGCCCCGGGCGCCCCGACGCCCCGACGCCCCGCCCAGGCCGGGCGGCCGCGCTCACCGGGCTCTCGGCCCCGCAGGTGCCCGCCGAGGAGGCCAGGGAGCACTGGGAGAGCGGCTACGCCTTCTCGCTGACGCACTGCAGCCACACGGCGTGGTGAGCGGGCGGGGGCGGGGGCGCGGGCGCGGGCGCGGGCGCGGGCGGGGGGGGGGGGCGGGCCGGCCGGGACCTCGCGCTCAGCCCCCGCCGCCGCAGGAACCAGCACTGCCGCCTGGTGCAGGAGGGCAAGGACTGCGCGCAGGGCCTGCGGCTGCGCCACCACTACGTGCTGTGCGGGGCGCTGCTGCGCGTGTGGGGCCGCGTGGCCGCCGTCATGGCCGACGTCAGCAGCAGCAGCTACCTGCAGGTCGTGCGCCTCAGGACCAAGGACCAGAAGAAGCAAGTGGGTGAGTGCCGGCGGCGGGCCCGCCCTGCCCGCGCGCGCGCCCGCGCCCTGACCGCCGCGCCCGCCCGCCCCTCCCCCGCAGGCATCAAGATCCCCGAGGGCTGCGTGCGCCGCGTGCTGCAGGAGCTGCGGCTCATGGACGCCGACGTCCGGCGCAGGAGCGCGCGCGCGCCCCCGCCGCGGCCGGAGCTGCCCTGCGGCGCGGGCGAGGTGCTGGACCTGACCTACAGCCCGCCGCGCCGCGCGCCCCCGCCGCCGCCCCTCGCGCCCGCCGACCCCGCCGCGCTGGCGCGCCAGGGCTGCGACATCAACTTCAAGGAGGTGCTGGAGGACATGCTGCGCTCGCTGCACCCCGGCGCGGCGCCCGCGGGCCCGGCCGAGCGCCAGAGCGTCATCCGCTTCAGCCCGCCCTTCCCCAGCCCCTAGCGGCGCCGCGGGCGCGGCCCCTCGCAGTGCCTTCCGCCCCGCCGCCCCGCGCGCCGCCGCCGCGCCCCGCTCAGGACGGCCCGAGCTCCGGGGGCGGGGCGCTCCCAGGAGCTGGCAACTCAGGAAGCCCCAGGTGCTCGGCCCCGCGCGTCCGCGCCGGGGCCCGTGGGGCAGACCCCCGTGTATGCAACCCCCTCCCCTGCTCCCTAAGTTATTGCCTGCTCGCCTCCCCCGGCTGCGGCCGGGCCGGCGCGCCTGTATTTATAATGAACTCTAATGTATATATGTAACTTTTTTAAATATATGTGCCTTTTGCCTACACCCCCCGGTGTCCACTGGCTCCTCTGGCCCCCTGCGTGGGGCTGCCCGGCTCAGGCCCTCCGCGGAAGCCCCGCCCCCAGGACCTCTCCTGCCCCTGCCCTCCAGCCGGGCCAGGCGCGGGCACTCCAGCCCCCCTGACCGCTGGTCCTGGGCTCGAGCAGCTGCCTCCTGGGGGGGGGGGGGGCGGGGCTGGCCCGGCGCGGGTCTCCCCAGGACCTGAGAGGGATTAGGGATTAGCCCGGGATCAGCCCTCCCCCACCACAACGCAGCAGCGGGTTTCCATGTTTTATTCCCACAAGGCAGCAGGGTGGGGGCGCGCGCCGGGCCCGGCGGCCCGGGACCTTCCTCCGGCGGGTGCACGCGGTCCTCGGGGCTGCCTCACCAGCGGGCTGGTTTGCAGGCAGACCGTCATGGGTGCCGGGCGGAAGGCTTGGGGCGCGGGCGGGCGCGGGCGGGGCGCTTGTGGGGCTAGAGATAGCAGGGCAGGTCCTTCTCGATCACCTGTGGGGGGCACAGCGCCGTCAGGGTGGTCCCGGCCCCGCCCCCAGCCCCGCCCCGGGCACCACCAGGGCCTCCTCCATAGGTTCACAGCGCCGTCAGGGTGGTCCCGGCCCCGCCCCCAGCCCCGCCCCGGGCAGCCCCCCCCCCCCGCACCTACCAGGGGCTCCTCCATGGGCCCGTACCGCTTCACCACGCAGCCGTTCTTGTCGATGAGGAACTGCGGGGGCACAGAGTGTGGGACAGGGCCCAGGCGCTCCCCCCACCACGCCCGACACAGCCCCTCCGTCCCCTCCGTCCCCCCCCCCCCCCCCCCCCCCCCCCCGTACCTTGGTGAAGTTCCACTTGATGGCACTGTGGGAGGCAGAGGCAGGTGTCAGGGGCTGCCCGGCCGGGCTCCCCAGCGGGACCCTGACCCCCCACCCAGCCCCAGGTCCACTCACTCCCCAGCAGGCCCCTGCCCCACTCCAGGGCCCCCCCACCCCCAGGGCCCCATCCCACCCCCAGGTCCACTCACTCCCCAGCAGGCCCCTGTCCCCCCAGCCCCCTGTCCACTCACTCCCCAGCAGGCCCCTGCCCCACTCCAGGGCCCCATCCCACCCCCCAGGGCCCCATCCCACCCCCAGGTCCACTCACTCCCAGCAGGCCCCTGTCCCCCCGGCCCCCGTCCACTCACTTCCCCAGCATGCCCCTGTCCCCCCGTCCCCCTGTCCCCCGGCCCCCGTCCACTCACTTCCCCAGCATGCCCCTGACCCCCCCCGTCCCCCTGTCCCCCCAGCCCCCGTCCACTCACTTCCCCAGCATGCCCCTGTCCCCCTCCGTCCCCCTGTCCCCCGGCCCCCGTCCACTCACTTCCCCAGCATGCCCCTGTCCCCCCGTCCCCCCGGCCCCTGTCCACTCACTTCCCCAGCATGCCCCTGTCCCCCGTCCACTCACTTCCCCAGCATGCCCCCGGCCCCCGTCCACTCACTTCCCCAGCATGCCCCTATCCCCCGTCCACTCACTTCCCCAGCATGCCCCTGTCCCCCCGGCCCCCGTCCACTCACTTCCCCAGCATGCCCCTGTCTCCCCGTCCACTCACTTCCCCAGCATGCCCCTGTCCCCCGTCCACTCACTTCCCCAGCATGCCCCTGTCCCCCTGTCCACTCACTTCCCCAGCATGCCCCTGTCCCCCCGTCCACTCACTTCCCCAGCATGCCCCTGTCCCCCCGTCCACTCACTTCCCCAGCATGCCCCTGTCCCCCGTCCACTCACTTCCCCAGCATGCCCCCGGCCCCCGTCCACTCACTTCCCCAGCATGCCCCTGTCCCCCGTCCACTCACTTCCCCAGCATGCCCTGTCCCCCCGGCCCCCGTCCACTCACTTCCCCAGCATGCCCCTGTCTCCCCGTCCACTCACTTCCCCAGCATGCCCCTGTCCCCCGGCCCCCGTCCACTCACTTCCCCAGCATGCCCCTGATCCCCGTCCACTCACTTCCCCAGCATGCCCCTGTCCCCCGTCCACTCACTTCCCCAGCATGCCCCTGTCCCCCCGTCCACTCACTTCCCCAGCATGCCCCTGTCCCCCGGCCCCGTCCACTCACTTCCCCAGCAGGCCCCTGTCCCCCGTCCACTCACTTCCCCAGCAGGCCCCGGCCCCGTCCACTCACTTCCCCAGCATGCCCCTGTCCCCCGGCCCCGTCCACTCACTTCCCCAGCATGCCCCTGATCCCCGTCCACTCACTTCCCCAGCATGCCCCTGTCCCCCCGTCCACTCACTTCCCCAGCATGCCCCTGTCCCCCCGTCCACTCACTTCCCCAGCATGCCCCTGTCCCCCGTCCACTCACTTCCCCAGCATGCCCCTGTCCCCCGGCCCCGTCCACTCACTTCCCCAGCAGGCCCCTGTCCCCCGTCCACTCACTTCCCCAGCAGGCCCCGGCCCCGTCCACTCACTTCCCCAGCATGCCCCTGTCCCCCGGCCCCGTCCACTCACTTCCCCAGCATGCCCCTGTCCCCCGGCCCCGTCCACTCACTTCCCCAGCAGGCCCCTGTCCCCCGTCCACTCACTTCCCCAGCAGGCCCCGGCCCCGTCCACTCACTTCCCCAGCATGCCCCTGTCCCCCGGCCCCGTCCACTCACTTCCCCAGCATGCCCCTGTCCCCCCGTCCACTCACTTCCCCAGCATGCCCCTGTCCCCCGTCCACTCACTTCCCCAGCATGCCCCCGGCCCCCGTCCACTCACTTCCCCAGCATGCCCCTGTCCCCCGTCCACTCACTTCCCCAGCATGCCCCTGTCCCCCCGGCCCCCGTCCACTCACTTCCCCAGCATGCCCCTGTCTCCCCGTCCACTCACTTCCCCAGCATGCCCCTGTCCCCCGGCCCCGTCCACTCACTTCCCCAGCATGCCCCTGTCCCCCGTCCACTCACTTCCCCAGCAGGCCCCGGCCCTTGGGCTGCACTTTCATCCACTTCCACAGCGGGTGGGCGTCGTCGCCGTTCACGCAGATCTTGCTGTACATATCGAACTTGACGTTGTAGCCGGCGGCGAACTCTTTGATCTCTGCGTTACTCCCTGGCTCCTGCGGGGGGGGGGGGAGTGAGTGGGGAGGGGCCCAGGCACCCCGGGGCCCCCACCCTCGCCCAGGCGCCCCCGGCACGCACCTGCCTCCCGAACTGGTTGCAGGGAAAGGCCAGGATGCGTAAGCCACACTCAGCGTAGCGCGCGTGCAGGTCGACCAGCTGAGTGTAGTTCACGTCGGTTTTGCCTCATTGGGAGGCCACGTTGGTGACGATGCACACGAAGCCCCTGGAGGCGCGGGGCGCGGTCAGGCGGGTCGGGCCCCTGCCTCCCCCTCGGCCCCGCGCCCGCGCCCCGCGCCCACCCGCACCCACCGGTACTTGTCCAGGCAAACCATGCGCCCGTCGATGTCCTTGGCGGAGAACTCGTGCATAGAGCGCGCGCAGCGCCAGTCGTCCCGGGACGCGCACTGCAAGGCAAGGGGGGTGTCAGTGGTCGTGGCGCCCGGCGGGGCGGGGCCGCCCCCCGCCTCAGGTCCCCGAGGGAAGAAGGGAGCCCGGGGGGGCCGGGCGACGGCGCCCTGGGGCACGGGAAAGGTCACGGCCGCTCCTGCAGTGCGCACGCGCCCGCGTCCCAGCGGACTCCGAGGCCGGCGCAGGGCTCGGGGCCCCAGAGGCACCGGGACGGCGGGGGAGGGGGGCCTGCGCACACCGGGTCCACAAGCTCCACACAGCCCCCGCACTCCGTCACTGGCGCCGTCGACCGAGGCCTGGAAGCACAGGGTTCCACCGGCCGCGGGCGCGCACGAGGGCGCCGGCACGCGGGGGCCCTGCGCCTGCGCCTGCACCGCCGCCGCCGCCGCCGCCGGGGGGCTTGGTTTTGGCGCCGGGCGGCGGTTCCGCCCGGGCACCGGGCCTGCTGCCTGCAGCGCCCTGGGGAGCCGGCGGCTGCGCGGCCCATGCCCGCCTTCTGCGGGCGCGCCAGGGCCACCGGGCGTTGCGCCGGGGACAAAGGCCGTCGCCAGGGCGACCACCGCCCACTGTGACGCCGCCGAGCGGGCCCCGGGGCGGGCAGGGGAAGGGACGGAGGGGGGGAGGGGTGGCCCCGCCTGGGCTCGTGACCCTGGGCACCCAGCCCAGCGGCCGCTCCCCCGCCCACCCGCTGCCCTGGCGCACGGCCCCTCGCGATGCACCCGGGGCCCCCAACGGCCCATTCCGCGCCCGGTCAGGCTGCGGAGCCCCGACCTCGGCCCCGATCCGCCGGGCGAGCGACCCAGCGTGGTCACCGCGTCCGCGCCGAGCCCCGGTGGGGGTGGGGTGGCGTATCCGTGGCCGGACGGCCCCTCGTCTGAGGTCGCCCCGGCCCTTGGGTCCCTCGCGACGTGGTCACGCGTCCGCCCCAACGGCCCCCGGGCAGCCGCGGCGCCGCGGCGCTCACCATCGTGCCCGCCAGGCCGGGCGCAGCCAGGGCTCCGCACAGCAGCGCCGGCTTCAGCAGGCGACTCAGACGGCCGAGAATCATCGCGCTGGCGGGGCCTAGGGAGCCAGCGGCTCCTCCCCTCGCCGAGCCGACCAATGGACGTGCGCCGGCGCGCCTCGCCTCCCCGCCCTCGGCCACGCCCACACGCGCTTTCATTGGCCGGCCGGCGGGCCCCGCAGACGCGCGGCAGCGCCAGCCAATGGGAAGCCGGGGTGAGGGGCGGCTCGGGGCCTGGGGCGGGTCTGAGGGGGTTGTTGTTGTCAAGGACTGCGCATGCTCGTCGACGGACCGACGGCCGCGTCCACGCGAGCGCCGCGTTGCGGGTTGCGGACAGTTACCCGCGCGGCCGTCCGCAGCGAGCCGAGCTGAGGCCCCGCTGTGGGAACTCGGGCCGCGGGACCCCAGCCCCTGGAGAACGGGGCGAGGGGCTTGGCTTCTCAGTGGAAATGAAACCCCGCGGAGGCTCCGGGCCCAGCGCGGCCCGTGGGCGTTGTGGCTTCGGCTTCCGTGTCGGTGACACGTTGAAAACGGTTCCCCGCTTACCGTTTAGCCAGGCCCCGCGGCTATGCGGCCTCCGCCCGGCGAACCGCGGCCGCGAGGGTGGTCCCGCGAGCTCTGGCCCTGGCCTTGACCCCGGCCCAGCATCGGGCGCCCGTGCTTCCGACACCCTGCGCCCTGGCCCTGGTCCCCCTGGGTGCCCGTGCTTCCGGGACCCTGCGCCCTGGCCCTGGCCCTGGTCCCCCTGGGTGCCCGTGCTTCCGGGACCCTGCGCCCTGGCCCTGGTCCCCCTGGGCGCCCGTGCTTCCGGGACCCTGCGCCTTGGCCCTGGCCCGACCCTGGCCCCCCGGACGCCCATGCTTCCGGGACCCTGTGCCCTGGCCCTGGCCCCCCAGACGCCCGTGCTTCCGGGACCCTGTGCCCTGGCCCTGGCCATGCCCCCTGGGTGCTCGTGCTTCCGGGACCCCGCGCCCTGACCCTGGCCCTGGTCCCCCTGGGCGCCCGTGCTTCCGGGACCCTGCGCCCTGGCCCTGGCCCCGGCCCCCCAGACGCCCGTGCTTCCGGGACCCTGCGCCCTGACCCTGGCCCTGGTCCCCCTGGACGCCTGTGCTTCCGGGACCCTGCGCCCTGACCCTGGCCCTGGTCCCCCTGGACGCCCATGCTTCCGGGACCCTGCGCCCTGGCCCTGGTCCCCCTGGACGCCCGTGCTTCCGGGACCCTGCGCCCTGGCCCTGGCCCTGGCCCCCCGGGGCGAGTCCAGACCTTGGCCCGCCCTGCCCAGCGCCGGTTATCTCCCGGCCCTGAGTCCGCCCCGCCCTGGGTGTTGCCCCAGGAGTGGGGGGAGGCGCGGCCGCTCCCTGCTGTGGACCGAAGGCCGGTGCCCGTTTCAGGGGCGCACAGGGCCCCTAGGTCATGAGGGGGCTCCGGCCCCGGCAGGCATCTGCGCCCGCACCTGGCTCTCCAGGGGGCAGCAGAGCCTGGGCGCCCAGGAGGCCCCCGGGCCCGGGGGTGGAGGCCGGGGTCCGCCGGCCGTGGGTTGGGGACCGGGCGGGGCGGGGTCCCGCGTGTCCGGCTGAGCTGGCTGGACTGCTCCACATGGCCCCCGGGAGGGCCTCAGGGCCTGGACGCGGGTTCTGTATTTGAAAGGCGGAGTTGTGGAGGGCGACCCTTCCAGCGCTGGTTCGCCCCACAGTGGCTGCAAAGGCCGGGGCTGGGCGGGGCCGCAGCCTGGAGCCGGAGCTCCACGGGGGTCTCGGGGCCGATGCTGCCCCCATCCCCCCCCCCACCCGCTGCTCTCCCCGGCCAGGGGCTGGCCCGGAAGTGCTAGCCGAGATGGGAGGAGGAATTCAGACTGAGGCCCAGAGCAGTGGCCAGCGAGGCAGGGGGCAGGGCCATGGGGGCCCAGGGGGCCCAGCGGGTTAATCCTGTGCCTGCCAGGCCGGTTCTAATCCCGGCCGCTCCACCTCCCATCCAGCTCCCTGCTGTGGCCTGGGAAAGCCGTGGACGATGGCCCAAGTCCCTGGGCCCCTGCACCTGCGTGGGAGACCCGGATGGAGCTCCTGGCTCCTGGCTTCCGATCAGCTCAGCTCTGGCCATTGCAGCCATCTGGGGAGTGACCCAGCAGATGGAAGACCCCTCTCTCTCCCTCTCCCTCTCCCTCTCCCTCTGTAACTCTGCCTCTCAAAATCTTTTTTAAAAAGAAGGGGGGTAGGAAAGAGCCAGAACCCAGAGTGCCGGCCTGCGTTCAGCCTGGGGCGGCGGCAGTGGCTCCCGTCCCTGCGGGACAAAGCGGTCACTGCTGGGTGCTGTCCGGCTGGAGCTACCCCAGCTGCGGCCTCGGGGGAGGGCGCACAGCTGTTTCGTTGTTGTTAAGATTTATTTATTTATTTAGGCCGGCGCCGTGACTCACTAGGCTAATCCTCCGCCTGCGGCGCCGGCACACCGGGTTCTAGTCCCGGTCAGGGCGCCGGTCTCCCTGCTCCTGGCTGCCCACTGCCGCCCGTGTGGGTGGGCCACGGTGCGTGTCCACTCCCGCCTGGGTGTGTCACCCGAGGGAAGGCCGTGGGAGCCGTGGGAGCCCCAGCGTGAGACGGGGGGCCAGTGCTAGGTTTTACTGGGGACACGGCCGTCCTGCTCGGGCCAGAGGCCC